TAGTTTATAAAGCGCGTAACATACTGTACCAATACAAAAAATGACGTTGCTATTCTCAGATCCCATGAGTATAGTTGCGTTTTTTCTCCATCTTGGCTAAACTTTGATTGAGTCTTAAGATGACAATGTTAGCATAACATTAGCATAGTAGTATGCTATTGGCGGCGAGTTAACATAACACACATTTAGCATAGTCAACTAATTTGTGTTAAGTATGCAATTTTTAGCTCATAATGTTCTTAGCATGCTAACACAATAATAGCATATTAGCATGCTATGCTATTCTCAGATCCCATGAGCTAATCCACAAAGTGTACCTAAAGGTGGTGCCAAAGGACATATTGCATTGAAATCTAAAATGAAATGCAGCGTATGGTAGCCATGTTTGTCCAACCTAGCCTAACTTTTTCATAAGTCTAAGATGGCATTGTAGGCATAACATTAGCGTATTAGTTAGCTAATGAAAGCAGGTTAAAATAACACACAATTAGCTTGTTTAGCATGTCACACGCTTATGTTTTACAAAAATAATAGCATATAGGCTAAGCATGCTATCAAATCAACACATTTTCATATTAATTAAACATTTTAAGGGGGGAGATTTAGAAGCAATAGTTTCATCCAATAACATGACATGGCAAGATGAAAAGAAATACCTTAGCCCCCAATATTTTTTTATACTCTTTCAAAGTTGTTTTAGGTAAGACCGACATTTCTTGATTATCATTGGCATTTTTGCAATTGTTGTCAATGCCATCTTGCTGTGATCATATTTGAATGATTTTTTAGCTAGCTTTATCCAATATGCCACCCAACACCACCCACAAAACCACCCACAAAACCACCAGACTTGTTTTCACTTTCCGTGGGGTTTAAAGGATTAGCAGTGACACACGGGTGCTCTGCTGAATTGAATAAGCTGGAACCTTGACATTTGGAAGTTGTCTTTTCAAACCACAAAAACCTGTCAAAGCGTCTTAATCGATGGCGTCGGGCACACAATAACTGTGCCTGGAATATATGAGATTATTAAATGCCCCGGTGTCATGGTTAATACTCTGTCTCCTCTTCAAAGTTTTCCTACTCAGTCATAAATCTTAGTGTGTCTGTGTTTATGGTTGTGTGTGACAAGGAGAGTCGGGCTGTCTTTTAAGGAGCTGTTAATGAAAGTAAGTGGTGTGGAGAGAGAAAGTGTCAACCGTCTCTCGTGGTGATACATCACTCCTGCTCTTAACATTAACGCAGAGCCGTCACTCCGAGCATTTCAGGCGCCCGCAGTTAAATTAATCAGGTAATGGACCTCAGTCTCCGAGCCCCCTCCATCCTCACTGCGGTTTCTCCTCCTCATTGCTATCTCTTGGTTTTTCTTCAGCCTGTCTTTTGAAAACTTGAGAGCTGCTCATTCCCACATTACCAAGACACATAACAAATACTGTTGGTTCACCACAGATGCTTCTAGTGACCACACGTAATGTATTGACTGCACAAAGACATGATTATAAGTAGAGAAGTGACAGGAAATGTGCGGACAGAGAGAGAAAAAGTGGGAAAATGCAACATATCTCCAGCCAGAGTTAGGTGTAGAGGTGTTGCATTAACAAGGCCAGTGTCTTCAACATTCAAGCTACCATGATGAGAAGTTATTTTAAAGGTGTTATTCGTTGGATCAACTTTGGCCAGACAAATCACCAGCAAATGTGATGATGGAAAACCAGATTCAGCAGTAGCCGTCTTCTGTCGGCCTAGTAGATTTACCAGATGCTGAAGCTCTGGAAAGCGTCTGTGGCACGCGCCTGGTGTACATTGGGGCCAAGGAAAAACAGGGTGTGTTGCTACTGCCCGTTTCTGCTGTTTTTGTGGGCTTTATTCCACTTTGAAACTAATGGCGCATTTCCACTACACGGCCTCGCTCGGCCCCGCTCGGTATGGCTAGGCCTCGTTAGGACTGGCTCACTTTATGGCGCATTGCCATTACAGTTTAGGAACTGGGGTAGTATCTATAGTAACGCAGTGTAGGCGGAGCCGTGACGTCATCTTCAATGAGAACCCCAGAAAAACAACACAGCCGTTAGCTGTTAGCACTCAAGCTCACAGCTCCTCATATCTGTTCAGAAACTCGACAAAAGTTAAACAAGTACAAACCACAGACTGCCTGTGTCATGGTGAATACAGTCGCTGCTTTATTTATGTCTGTATAGGCCGTTGTTGTGAGTGTGGACGGTCGGAGCATATACTGCGTTAGCTTAGCCAATCTCCATTTAGAAAACACGCATTTTAAAAGGTGTTTCGCCTGCCGTCTGTCTGCAGACTTGTCAAAGCATTCATTCATGGTTTTTACTAACCGGTATCAGTATGTTGTTACTTCGGCATCATTTAGAAACGTGTATTACAATTAAATCACGGTCAAATATGTCCATCTTGTTGTAGTTGTAGCCCCCTTGCCAGCGATGCTCTCTCTAGTTTAGCATACTCAGCCCGACTCAGCCTCGTTGTCTCTGGCCCTAGACCCACGATTTTATGAGGCCAGAAAAACTGTGAATTAGGACCCGCCGGCCGGTACTAGGCCAAGTGGAAACGCAACCAAAGACGGGCCGCTGACGTCACAGCCCTCTTAAACCGTGCTCCGCGCTGTAGTGGAAACGCGCCATAAGGTGCTTTTAAGCCAGGAATATGTTATCATCTTATTGGCATTAAAATGTAGCTTTTTCTTGGTTTTCAATTAACACATTTCAAATCATGGTATATTTCTTACTCATTTTCAGAGCATTTACTCTCTTTACATTGGGGCCAAGGGAGAACAGGGTGTGTCCTGCTACTGCTCCTTTTTTGTTGTTATTTTGGGCTTCATTCCACTTTGAAATTAAGGATTTTTTATCAACTTAATGGCATTAAAATGTAGCTTTTTTTCTGTTTTCAATTAACTTTCTTTACTATTACTTTCCATCTACTTATCCCGCACACTTAACACATCTCAAATCATAGTATATATCTTACTCACTTACAAGTATTGACTCTCTTTCTCTTAACCTCTTACAAACTGGCTGTTGTTCTGTTTTCGTAGGTTTTAGCAGGTGCCGTTTTAATATGGATACTGGTATCTTTTAAATAATCTGTTGGTACCAAACTTGTCGGGAACGAGGCTAAATAACGATCCAAAGTTACGCTTAATTTAGATAAGGGGAGACTGGCACGCTCATTTTCAAGATAACTGAATGATAGTTATATCAAAATAGTTTTTTATGGGTACCCACTTTATGCTAATCCCATGCAGTTTGTGGCAAAAACTATGGAATTTGGGGGGATTTCAGCCCTTTGCAGACCATTTACATTCCCAAAAACCATAATAGGGCCTCTTTAAAAGTGCCACAGTGCACAGAGCTTCATCTCAGATTCATCTTCAGGTTTCCAGCTTTCAGATTACGTACACCACGTCTATGTGGCATATACTTCTGACTTGTATCTGTCCCTGAACATCTCCTGTCCCCCACTCATACCCCTCTAGAAAAGTGGTGAAATGGTATGAGGTTAAACACACTCACTGTTGGGACTTCCACTTCTTTGGTTTGACTTAGATGGGGCTGAAGTAACACACACACACACACACACACACACACTCACACACACACACACACACACACACACACACACACCACACACACACACACACACACACACACACACACACACACACCTCTTGAGGTTGTCTTTGTATTCTTCCCCGTAGTTTAGTTTTTGGTTCTTAATGTTTCATTCATTGAGTTTCTCTTAAGCGTGTTCAATTTTTCTTCACTGTCTTCTGTCTCTTTCATTAACACACCCACACACCCACACACACACACACACACACACACACACACACACACACACACACAAACCTCTTTGGTTCGTCGCGGCGTTTAGAAGTTGTAGATATTCTCTGCGGACCAATTTCCCTGTGAATAATCACGGAGGTTCATTGTGGAAACGAGCACGGTGCCAAAAGTCATTTCTTCAACAGGCGGCAGCTTTATACCGAGTCAATCAAGCTGAAATATCTCAGCAATGGCTCCTATTTCGTTAAGCGCCGCTCCCTCCCTATGAATATAATTACCGCGCTGAGCCCCGTCCACGCCTTCTTCATTTACCATTCCCCAACTTTCAACCATCTGAATTGCTTTTGAACCTTTTAAAAGTACTTTTGAAATTCTTAATTAGTTTTTTCATACCTGATTTTGTGACTCAATACGTTAATATTTGTAGTGTGATCAGTTGATTTTGAGTAACCTTAAAGTGGACCTATCATGCTATATTTGAATAATATTACTATTATTATTTATACTTATTTTTTTTCAAAATACCAAACAGATCATGCATTTTAGCCATGCCTCATTTTGCTCAATTTGACAATTTCTAGATCTGTTTTTGCAAGGGCAGATTCTGTGAGAACAGCACCATCTACAGGCCTGGCATATGTACTACAGCGTCTCCAGCGCTTTCGAACGGCAATGGCCGTGGCTGTCTCCTCCTGATTGGTGGAGTTGGCCCAATAGCCGTAGCGCCACCGTCCTGACGTCAGGACAGTGTTCAAATCTGGATCAGTTTTTATCAGATCCGTTGCAGCCCCTTTTTTAGAGATTTGGGTATGGAGGAAAATAGAGAGGGTTGTGTTTTCTGACACTTGGTGAGTTCCCTGGAACACCGGGGACACATATTCATGTAGAAAAGACGTACAAAAGTGCATTTTGCATGATAGGTCCCCTTTAAGATTTTGATAAGGTACCTACTGGTTTATTGTAAGTCCCAATAGATTTATAATAACAATATATAATAATTGGTGAAGATATTTCCTTGAAAATGTTCCGTGAACTCAATCTGATCCATTTCTTGACCCTTTGAGGAAATTGATCAGTAAATTGGAAGGAATTATCTTATTTCAACGACATCAAAGTTATATAATCTTGTAAAACCTTCCAGCACAGTGTCATCAAAATACCAATAGACAATTCATTGTTGTATTCCAGGTTTGGGAAACACCGTAAGGACGAACGGCCGGGAGAAAAGTTGGATCGGAAAGGTTCCAGCAAGTGGAGGACGGAGGAGTCGCAGGTTTCTGATGAAGAGACGATGAAGATGAGGATGGATCAGGAGAGGTAAGGGGCTTCAAGTTGTACCTGCTAAATGCTTTTAAATGTAGTTTATTGCAATGCTTAAGGTCCTTTTATCTTTGCACTCCTATATGCTTTGCTACTTTAGCATCAAAGAAAAGTCATTACTACCTCACAGAGCCATGGACATGAAAGCTAGCCATTGAGTCATTTACTTTCAATGGTTTTTAAGCTTTAGAGAATTTAATAAAAGCTTGTTATGAATACTCTTGATCGTAGTTACAAAGTTCAAATCCAAACGTGTATTTTAGCGGCCGCGCTCCAGCTCTGTTCCCTGCTTTGATGAACACATCTAGTTTGTGTTCAGCCATTCTCATTTTCTGCCTTAGATATCAGTTAATATACATTTTGTGGCCAACATGTATGTGGGCAACGTTTCACCACTTTGTTGAACATGTCATTTCAAAACCACGGTCATTAATCTGCTATCACAGTCTTCTGGGAAAGCTTTCCACAAGATGTTTGGTTTGCAGGAAGTTGTTTATATTCAGCCGCAGAGACATGAAGTCCAACACTGCCATTGGATGATAATGCCTTGGTAGCATTTAGTATTCTAGGTTACCCAACGGCTTAGATGGGTTAAAAGAGGACATATGTACATTTCCAGGTGTATATCAGTATGTAGTGTCTCTACTTTAAAGAGTCCTCTCCTGCTGATGTTCAGGTGTATATCAGTATGTAGTGTCTCTACTTTAAAGAGTCCTCTCCTGTTGATGTTCAGGTGTATATCAGTATGTAGTGTCTCTACTTTAAAGAGTCCTCTCCTGCTGATGTTCAGGTGTATATCAGTATGTAGTGTCTCTACTTTAAAGAGTCCTCTCCTGCTGATGTTCAGGTGTATATCAGTATTTAGTGTCTCTACTTTAAAGAGTCCTCTCCTGCTGATGTTCAGGTGTATATCAGTATGTAGTGTCTCTACTTTAAAGAGTCCTCTCCTGCTGATGTTCAGGTGTATATCAGTATGTAGTGTCTCTACATGTCTCCATGCTTTAATGTTCAAAAAGCTCTTCTCATACTGCCTGTGCTGCAGCACCTCTTTTCACCCTCTGTCTGAAACCAGAGCCCAGTCTGCTCTGATTGGTTAGCTTATGCATAAGAATGGTAGATTTTACCACAGCTACTTAACAGCATGTCAAGCCCACATAAGATTGGAAACAATGGTCTTAGTTTTCTGTCTGCACCTCAGGAAGTGTTTTCAAAGTAGCTCAACAATCAGACCGAATACATTCCCTCTTTGACATTTCATAGACTAAACAAAATGGATATGTTTTACTTTGTTAATGAACTCCATATTTCCAACAGCAGTATGTTAATGGTTTAATGAATGAAGAATGTGTGTAATTACAAAAATGAGTAGATGGGTTAGAGAGCCCATTATTTCCTAGTCTCTCACTGTTATCAGGATAGGCGCCCAAAACCAAAACAGCCCCAAGACAGCCAGTTATTTCCTCGCTGCATCACACTGCACCAAAACTAAATGTCACACGGGCGCTGAGCCAGATTTCCGGGCGGCAGTTCATAAATGCCAAGGCCATTACTGCCCTGCCAGCTAATTAATTCCCTACTCTTGGTGAAGGTGCGGGAGTCATTACACCCCCCAACAGTTGCTCGTTATGAACATTTGGTTAGTAATTATTTTCTTTACGCCTGAAGAGAACATAGTCCAATAATATGATAATAGCCAGGTCTTTATTTTTAATTGGCATAGGGTTAACGCAAATGCCACGTCAGATGATTTGATTGTGACGCCCGCATATTGTTAAAAGTTCATAATGGTCCTTTTGTATGTTAATCCAATCTGTTTAAGTCACATTATCACGACGTGGCTTCAAACGAAATGTTGTAGTATTTCACAGATAACATGCCCCATTTCACTTATTCATGTACAACGACCTTAGGACACAGTGAACAACCAATGTGTACTTGGCTATGTTTTCTATTTACATTCTGAATTAATGTTGTAACAAGATGTGAAGCTTGTTGGGGGATTTTAGCCTCTGCAGACCATTAACTTGCACAAAAACACAACACACTGCAGCAAAGGGAAAACCCTAAAAAGTATGATAGGGCGTCTTCCAAGAATGTAACGCCAATGTTTTTGGTTTTCTTTTGGAAGCCACGACACGCTAAAGTATGTGGTCCAACAAAATGTGTTATTAAAAGGCTACAAACTGTATTTCTGCCAATTTATTCCGATTAATCTCTGCTGCGAAAGGAGTGTTTCAGTCTCTTTGTTCATTAGTTCGTTCTTTTGTTTGTTAATGTTTAATGGTTTCGGAGCTCCCAGGGCCAGAGAGAGCTCAGGAATTCAGCCAAGAGAGTATACGAGGAAAGCCAAATGAAGGTCTGTGCATCCAAAGAGCAGCAACCATCTTGGGATTGTCTTGACAGTAATTCAATGCATTAATTATTCTGTTCAGAGCTGGGTGTTTGACTCACTCCAACCAAGCGTACCTCCTCCCTGAACACCTGCAAAAGCACAAGCACACTTCTCGTTTGAATGCTACCCCCGGCTGAGATACAGTGATATCGACTGGGGAGATCCCACTGAGGATGTGGAAGACTGTGTCTGCTTCGGTGTTAAACAATAATCCAGTTAGCTGCTTTTCTCCCAGGGTTCAGCTGGGAGCTTTGGCACCTCGCTGCACAGCTCCTATTGATTGGCCACTGCCACAGGCTGTGGTTAATCCAGCTGTGATTGACTAAATGGATGGATTTCCTCGCAGGTTTAAGTCTCGGGTCCCAGTGGACTCCGACCGAGAGCCAGACAAACAAATCAAGACGGACAGTTCAGGCAGCAGACGGAGGGTTGCGGGGCGAACGTATGTTCATTTGAAAAGCAGACCAAACATGCTAATATGGATGTAATTGGTCATTGTGGACGTGAATGTACTTTATAATGCGTTCGGCCTTAATCAGGTTGTGAAATCAATTGGAAGTTCCACGGCAATTTAAATAAGAAAGCTTCTAGGCTCAAATACCTTGGGATGCAATCTGTGAGTTTAATTACTAATATTGAGTTTTGTTGCCAATAATAATGTATTTTTGATTGACGTTTCCCTGAACATGTAGATTTATACCATTCAGTTATGGACAACAGGACATTGCCGTTGAGTAAAATGATTGTACTCTAGATAAGAGATAGAAAAAAACAGTTGCTTTGTACAGTGCAACATGGCATTTAACTGCAAGGTAACACATTCACACACCGTTGGTCATCAGGGAAACTGTTGGTTAAGTATCTTGACCCGAAACATATCAACAAATTGACTGTGAGGGTTGGAAATCGAATCATGCATCTTCCAATCTGTAGACGACTATCTATAAAACCTCAGCTGCCCAAACCAAATCCAACTAAATGCATCTACTTAGTTTGCCAAAACAGTGGCCATCTTTAGCCCAACACTTCTATTAGATTCGACAATCCTTGTGACTATCAGTCAGTTTTTTGGGGGGTTTTCCCTTTCGTGTAGTTTGTTAAAACGGTTTGTGTGCATGTAAATGGTCTGCAAAGGCACAAAATACAAATATGAACCTAAAAATGAGCATAATAGGGACCCTTTAAGAGTCATACAGCCAACAGTTCAATAGTTGAATCTCTACAGCACATCAGACAGTTATCACGCAATGTGTCCATATGAACTTCCCTTGACCTCCACAATCACTACTACTACTACTTCTTGCTCAAGCTTTTAAATGTAAACGTTCTCCTTTCTTTAAATGTCAACGTTCCCCTTTCTTTAAATGTCCAAATGTACTTATACGGTATAGTATCCTCGGGCAATACTCTCTTTGCATACGAAGTGCTCCTCCCACATAAAACATTTGCACATATCCAATGTTCTTAATCCAAAAGGACCTTCAGCAGCCATCTTATCCAGCTGGACCGTCTCCTTTCATGTACTTCCTGTCTTTCTCCGGGTCTATCAGTTGTGTCAGCACTCACGCTAAGAGGAAGGTTTATTACACGGCGGGTACAATAGCACATAATGGACCATTGTTCTGGCTCGATGTGGTGGAAAGGTCACTCGTCAAACACATTTCTTCCACCGTAAATGTCCCATCCTGCCATTTCTATACCCTTTTATCCGCTTTCTCTGCCTCTCATGCTATTCACCCTTTTTGTTCAACCTCTGACTCTTTTCCTAGATTCTTTTTTTTCATCATTTACCCTTCACGCTAAGAATATGTTCATCCCTCACGAAGGTTAGCCGTTGGAGAGAAAGCAGGGTTCTCGTTGCGTAAATATGTTGGGATTGAAAGGTCAATGATCAGGCCAAGTGTGCTTTTCCATCCCTGTCCCATTTCAATCAGTGTAATTGTATTTGCACACATTTTTAGCAACACTGCTTTCTAAGTGCTTGTCATGTTGACATAGATGGAGGCTTAGATTTTGTCTTAAAGGAATACAGCTGGAGTCCCCCTTGATTTACTCCAGTTACCCTGGTTCTTCTGCCAAAGAAGGATCAGAACATCCTTAGAAAACACGCCAGCAGTATAATGCTACTCCTCTGTTACCATATATAGTTCTGTTTCGTCCAAATACACATTCCTACCCTCCTAAAATAAGTCTAAATACACATCTGCCAAATATTGCTATTACAGTTAAGTGTTTGCTTTACTCAAAGCAATTTGTGTCCTGACGAAAGTAGATGATGAAGTCTCGGGATGTATGGAAGGTGTTTATTTAGCAATGTTTTAGAAGAAAAATTGTAGTTTTAGGATAAAATATGACTGATGTATGTTTGATACTCAAAATGTGAAATGTAGTTGAGTATACCTTGTAAATATCATAGTTTTTCTTTGATTCTGAGAATTGTTAAATTGCAGTTATTATTTAACTGCACTTGAGGAATGTAGAAAAAAGGTTTTTGATCAACTGTCAATTTCCATAATCAATTAATTGCCATTTTTAAGCAGAAATGTTGGGACCAGATCTCTAAATGTGAGGATTTGATAAGCCTTTATTGATACCTTGAGGGTGGATTCATAATGTATCATCGTCAATTAAATATCTCTGAGTTTTAGACAGTTGGCTGAAGACATTACCTTGGGCTCTGGGACGAGCTAGGGTTAGGGTTACCACTGTTTGTTGTACTGTTTTCTGAATTTGGGACACTTAACAATGCACTTTTCTTGTAATCAGCAACAGATATTTGATAAAAACAAGTATTCCTTACTTCTGTAATCAGCATATGAATACACTTTATATTCCAGACCTGTTTTGACCCCACACATGTAGGTAGCTGTCTTTCAAACGTCAGCTCCTAAGAGTTGACATTGTGTCCTTTCTCACACTCCACAACTGGTTCAAAGCTGCTTCCTCCCTCCGTCACAAAGCCTCATTACGGAGCCGGAGAAGTTCAGCTCTGGGTTGGTACGTCTGGCCTTATCTTATCAGCCTCTGAGCTTGTGTATACAATCAGGAGCGGCTCCCTCTTCTGCTGCTGCTGCTGCTTCTCTGATGGAGAACACTGGGTTTCCTCTGGGTTTAAAGATAGATCTCTCCAGGGCCCTGCTTCCTGCTGCGCTATTAGATAATTGCTACGTCCACAACTAATGCAGACACAGCTAGCAAGTCCACTAGCAAGTCCTCAGACATGAGTTAAGTTATAGGAAGAAGTGCTTATTTAGCAACACAGATGTAACCGCTGTCGAGATTCAGTAGGGAGCTGTTAATGCAAATAATGCACATTTTCAGGTGTATATCAGTATGTAGTGTCTCTACTTTAAAGAGTCCTCTCCTGCTGATGTTCAGGTGTATATCAGTATGTAGTGTCTCTACTTTAAAGAGTCCTCTCCTGCTGATGTTCAGGTGTATATCAGTATGTAGTGTTTCTACTTTAAAGAGTCCTCTCCTGCTGATGTTCAGGTGTATATCAGTATGTAGTGTCTCTACTTTAAAGAGTCCTCTCCTGCTGATGTTCAGGTGTATATCAGTATGTAGTGTCTCTACTTTAAAGAGTCCTCTCCTGCTGATGTTCAGGTGTATATCAGTATGTAGTGTCTCTACTTTAAAGAGTCCTCTCCTGATGATGTTCAGGTGTATATCAGTATGTAGTGTCTCTACTTTAAAGAGTCCTCTCCTGCTGATGTCCAGGTGTATATCAGTATGTAGTGTCTCTACTTTAAAGAGTCCTCTCCTGATGATGTTCAGGTGTATATCAGTATGTAGTGTCTCTACTTTAAAGAGTCCTCTCCTGATGATGTTCAGGTGTATATCAGTATGTAGTGTCTCTACTTTAAAGAGTCCTCTCCTGCTGATGTTCAGGTGTATATCAGTATGTAGTGTCTCTACTTTAAAGAGTCCTCTCCTGATGATGTTCAGGTGTATATCAGTATGTAGTGTCTCTACTTTAAAGAGTCCTCTCCTGCTGATGTTCAGGTGTATATCAGTATGTAGTGTCTCTACTTTAAAGAGTCCTCTCCTGCTGATGTTCAGGTGTATATCAGTATGTAGTGTCTCTACTTTAAAGAGTCCTCTCCTGATGATGTTCAGGTGTATATCAGTATGTAGTGTCTCTACTTTAAAGAGTCCTCTCCTGCTGATGTTCAGGTGTATATCAGTATGTAGTGTCTCTACTTTAAAGAGTCCTCTCCTGCTGATGTTCAGGTGTATATCAGTATGTAGTGTCTCTACTTTAAAGAGTCCTCTCCTGCTGATGTTCAGGTGTATATCAGTATGTAGTGTCTCTACTTTAAAGAATCCTCTCCTGCTCATGTTCAGGTGTATATCAGTATGTAGTGTCTCTACTTTAAAGAGTCCTCTCCTGCTGATGTTCAGGTGTATATCAGTATGTAGTGTCTCTACTGTGACATGTCTCCATGCCTCTTTTTCACCCTCTGTCTGAAACCAGAGCCCAGTCTGCTCTGATTGGTTAGCTGGCTGGTTCTGCTGCGATTGGTCAACCGCTTAGAGATGTCCCGCCCCTTAGCCTATCTCGTACAATGTGTTGGAGTGCTAGCAAATAAAGGTGCGAGTGTTACACAGTGATGTCACTATGTTCAGAAGTAAACAAAGGATTCCATTGGAGGCGTTTTCAGGCAGGGAAGAGAGCGTGTGGGAGAGAATTTCCCTCTGGACAGGACACAGGGATTTCAGCCTTGTAGACCATTTACATAAACACATATAACACACAGGAAACTGAAAGATATAAAAAGCCTAATGGGGCCCCTCTAAAGCCACATTAGCAGCCTCGTTTTTAGTACTCAAACATGTTTTTTATCAATTTGTTTGTACCTCCAATGGTGGAGCCTTCCCATTTTTAAGACGTATTGTTTCATTATGCACAGCATGCAATGTTTCTGTATGAAGCGTTTCAGTTTTAACCCGCTGAGTGCTCGGTGAAGCCGCCCCCCCCACCTCGTCACGGCGGCTGTCCCATTCTCTTTCCCTCCGCCATTAAAAAGCGGCCTGGAGAAAAGAGAACAGTGTGATAATGGGTAGTTGTAAAGCTCTGATAATTGGCAAGGCTGTAATTACGGGGCTGCGCGATAGGTAGTCCCCCCCGCTGTAGAGGAACCACGTTGCCAGTTATTCACAAGATAATGGCCTAAAGAGTGTGTGTTAGTGTGTGTGCGTGCGTGCCGTTCTGTATGTCTGTCAGAGAGGTGAAAAGAGACTATTATATATTGTTTACGGTATTACTCAGTAGAAGAACAGGATACATAATAGGCTCCTCTCTCTCTGCTGTTATACATAGTTAAAAAGCAACATGACAAAGTGGAAACCAGTAAGGTGGCATTTTGAATTCCCCACGGAGCAGATTTAGCCATGATTCATAACTGATTTTTATTTCCAGTCGTACCGTTCCTACACAGTACTAAATATACAGTTATGTTCTGCCTGTGTCACGATGTGCTTCATGTCATCATTTCATATGCTCGGATGTTTTAAGTTGATTGATGGAAGCTTGTCAATTACACTGTCAACAGGAAGTATTCTGCACTCAATGTGGATTGAGATGCGATCACCGTTGTGATTTTGAGCGATAGGGCTTTGTAAAATGTTATTCAGTATCTATGATTTACTGTCATTTCAATAGAGTGGCCATTTATTGATAAATAATCAGATGTGACTGGTCAGTCATTTCTCAATCAGTCAGTCATTGGCTAAGTAGCACACCTGCCATTATAATCCAAGTAGTATAGAGAACAAAGTCTTTCACATTGCTAACATTAGCTACAGTACATATTATCATGTTTGAATGTGCTTCAGCCACTTAGCTCCAGGAATAGAGGCTTTATTCATCACATTAAACCTTTTCTGCTCAGTAAATATTCTGCAAAGTTAAAATACAACACTATTACAATATTTACAATGAAGGGACGTTACCATATTCTTCTGCCACTCTTTCTCTGATCAGTACATATGATGGAGAGACGTGTTACCTTAAAGCAACTGTCATTTGATACCATTTTAGATTATTTAATTTGACACTTCATGACAGAATACCTGATTTATGTTGGTCTACGTGATTTATAAATGCACAAACGATGGATGTGTTTTTCCGTGGACCCTAGGAAGAATGGTTACTACCCTTGAAGCCAATAATGCCTTTAGATTTAGCCATAAACGTGCAATCATATCATATTAACACCTAATTGTGCTTCTGTCTCTTTGCTGAATTCAATAAATGAAGCATTTTTCTGCTCAAAAAATGTTCTCAACAATGTATTAACAACGCTGGTATAATATTTACAATGAAGGGACTCTGGAGTATTCTTCTCCCAGTCTTTCCAGGGTCACTTTCTTTTATGGATAGAAGTATCAGCTAAAAGCAAATGTCATGTTCTACTGCTTCAGATCTCTTGGTATGCATGGTGCATGAATGCAAGAAAGGTGAATGTTTTAACGTGTGTATCCCGGGTAGAATTGTTGCTATCCTCTCCAATCTAACAAATAACGGTACATTTGGCATGTCAGCTTCCATTAAACAATACTTTATGGCCACATACAGAAGACAACACAGCACCAAAACTGCATGGATGTTTTTTTATGTGTGTACCCCCGGAAGAATTGTTGCTAACCTCGTAGTAACTAATGAGGATCCAATCTAACAAATAACGGTAAATGTGGCATGACAGTTACACGTTAAAGATTCATACAGAAGACAACACACCTCCAAAACTGCATGGATGTTTTTTTATCACCCAGAATCAGCCCAGAGCTGCACAGCACAGCATGGCACGTTTTTTCTGACCCACCGTTTGTTAATAGAGACAGAAAACCTACAGTGTCTGTCACAATCTGCACCATCAGGATCCAGGCTAAGACCCGGGAGCTGAGGGAGCGCCAGGCCCGGGAGCGGGACTACGCCGAGGTCCTGGACGTCAGCCGGGAGGAGGAGGACGAGGAGGAGGACCACGCGTACGCTGGGGTCAACGCTCTGAACTGCTCCATGGACAGCGGGCACAGCCGGCCCCACAGCCCGCGGGACGATTACATCCAACACCAGAACAACCACCCCAACCAACACCACCTGAACAACCACCCACACCACCAGAACCAGCACTCTGACTCCCTCTACACCCAAGTGAAGGCCCGCAACGAGCGGCCCCCGTCTGCAGACAGGTAGGCGTGGATTCATGCTTTCGGAGATAAAAAAAGATGCGAGTCATTCACTGGAACCAGATTTATGTATTAAGACTTTTTTATTTAAGTTCATTCTTTAGGCGGTCACACTAATGCATTTTATCGGATGAAGCTGCATGATTTATGATATGATTCACAAAGTAAAACTAAATAACTACCGTATTTTCCGGACTATAAGTCGCACCTGTGTATTAGTTGCTCTTGTTAAGAGAAAGAAAATATAAGTCGCCTCGGTGTTTAAGTCGCATTTATCCACTTCCTCCTCTGTGTCGCTGTTAAACACTTCCCCCAACTCCGGTGGAAGATGAAGCAGCATGTCCGGTTGCCGTGATTTTCTATTTTTCTATTTTTAGGATCCCGGTCTGATTTTGAAAGAGGATATGTACCCAAGGAATATACGTTTAGTGAAGTCTGTAGAGTATGATTTGTACACCAGGATATATCTGCAGCGCTCCACAATATTTAATTCAAAATGGTATTATAACACTTTTCGACCCTACATCAAGCTTTTACCAGTTGCACTAGTCCATATTGCGATTGCGATAAACCTTCGATTAATTGTGCAGCCCTTCAGTTGGAGTCAGAAGACCTTCAGGAAGTCGAGTGTGATTCATGTATGGATGTATAATAAGAACTGGAGACAGCGTGGGAGGCGGGGTCTCGTTCTTTCCTATGAGAGCTGCTCATTGGCGCATGAAGACAAAATGGCCGAAACGTCACAGATTACCCATCATGCCTAGCTGTTAGAGCAGAAGAACCTGTATGTGCGCTCACAGAGCATGTGCCCCTTAAGCCCCGCCCCCTGAGCTCTCACTCTCGGCTCAGTAGAATGAATGGAGAGAGAAAATAAATCTAGATTTGGCTTTTAGTGCATTTTACAACTTTAAGGACCGAATGATTCTAATAAGGGCTATAAAATAGTTCATACTGGGTAGTTTATTTAGTTAAAAAAAAGTATCTGCTGATTTACAGACGTCTCTTTCCCAATGTTAGTCAATGGGGAAGAGTCTTTCTGGTCCCAGTGACGTCACGGACTGATACGGAAATTGTAGTACCGCCGTTTGGACACAACGAATATTTTCATCAGAGTCCGGCGCACTTCCTGGGGGCTTGACTTCATGGTGCTGCAACCTTTTTACCTCCAGTTCTAAAGCCCGCCCCCTCCATGTTGTGTTTTTATTATTGAAAAAATAATGATTTAGGCGGTAACACTAAAACATTTTATCGGATGAAGCTGCATAATTTATGATATGATTCACAATATTGAAGAGATTGGTTGTTTTCGCATCATTATTCTCATCATCGTGTGATTGATACGATAATACATAATTGTTGGAACGGACAATTATGTTAAAGCCTCTTGGACGTACATTTGATCTGGGATTGACTTTGCATTTCATTTTTAGGATCATGGTCTGATTTTTAAAGAGGGTATGTACCCAAGGAATATACGTTTTGTGAAGTCTGTAGAATATGATTTGTACACCAGGATATATCTGCAGCTCCACAATACTTCATTCAAAATGGTATTATAACACTTATCTACCCTACAACAAATAATGTGCTTTAACGAGTTGAAGAGTGCACGAGTCCATATTGCGATTGCGTAACCCTTCAGAGTAATTGTGCAGTCGGAGTCAGAAGACATTCAGGAAGTCATTCATGGTCCTGCAAACTTTTTACTTCTAGTTCAAAATCCCGCCCTGCATGTTGTGTCACTGAAAAGGTCCGTTCAGCCCGATTCTGCCTCCACATCCTCGTAACTCTGAGGCAGCATTACTGCACCGGCTGGCTATTACACCTGGAGGAGCAAATAATCAGAGCAACAGGAGGCAGGCGGTAAATGTCAGCTCGACACAATGCACCGCTCTCTCTCTCTCTCTCTCTCTGGGATTACTCTGGGGAGGCAGTGAGTGAACGGGAACCTTTGAATGCCCGTCTCTCTTTCTGTCTCCCCTGACCTTTCTACCTCTCTTTCTACCCGACTTGTTGACTTCACCTTGTTTGCACCTTTTTCCTCAGCATTCTGCCTCAGCCAACAACATCTCACACCTTCATGATTGACGCTTTATTTTTGAAAAAGATCACCCTCGCCAGGCATGGAAATCCCTTTTTCTTTGAGGATATGCTCTGTTTTTATATACATCAGCTGAGTGGTATTGAGAGACTTCCAGTGTTGGACAGTTATTTAAGACATTAACTCAAGTACTGCACTTGAGGTACTTTTACTTTCCATTTTATGCTTCTTTATACTTCTACTCCACTACAATTTGAATGCAAATATTGTACTTTTTTCTCTTCTTCATTAATCTGACAACTGTAGTTGCTAGTTATTTGCAGATCCACATTATTCATACAAAATATAAATCGACCAATTATGATGTATTGTTATGGATTAAGAAACCTCAAAGTACTCAAATTCATTAAAGTAACACCTCTACCAGCTGCAAAAATAAATCTCTATCTGAGTTCTGATTTGAATCTCAGATTAAGGGGAAAGAAATCTGAATTTTCTAGAAAGAAATCACAATTTCTAAATTTAAGTCAGAATTCTAACTCTGAATTTCAGACCAAACAAAACCCACTCTTGGTCAGACTTCAAAAAAAGTTTCACATGTGACCCTAATATTCTTCTGTATAACACTAATTATAATCCAGAGAAATACAACTATATATATTATTCTGAAAACTGCCACTCTGCATAATGAGTACTTTCAGATGTGATACTTTTGATGCTCATACTGTACTTCTATACTTTTACTGAAGTGAAAACAATGAATGCATGAGTTGTACTTGCAGCAGAGTATTGCTACATTGTGGTATTACTAGGGATGGGTATCGTTAAGGTTTTAACGGTACTACTACTTGTATCGATACCGCTTATCGATCCGGTCCTTTAACGGTACTTTTATCGGTTCTTTTGAAAAAGAAAAGGGTAAACTAACTAAACAAATTGTGAATAAAATTAACATTGCTTTTTATTTAAATAAAATAAATAATATTTCACATCAAAAGAAACAACTTTTCCTATTGCACTTTTGGCAACGAGCGAGACGGGTAAAGTTTAACCACACCTCGGAGCACGTTCTCTCTCTGTGTGTGTGTGTGTGTGTGTGTGTGTGTGTGTGTGTGTGTGTGTGTGTGTGTGTGTGTGTGTGTGTGTGTGTGTGTGTGTGTGTGTGTGTGTGTGTGTGTGTGTGTGTGTGTGTGTGTGTGTGTGTGTGTGTGTGTGTGTGTGTGTGTGTGTGTGTGGTGTGTGTGTGTGTGTGTGTGTGTGTGTGTGTGTGTGTGTGTGTGTGTGTGTGTGTGTGTGTGTGTGTGTGTGTGTGTGTGTGTGTGTGTGTGTGTGTGTGTGTGTGTGTGTGTGTGTGTGTGTGTGTGTGTGTGTGTGTGTGTGTGTGTGTGTGTGTGTGTGTGTGTGTGTGTGTGTGTGTGTGTGTGTGTGTGTGTGTGTCAGCAGCCGCGTGTGCCGTGTGTGTAAACCGCCCCGCCCCCTCGCACACAGACGGGGGAGAGTCTTTTTGCGTATTACAAACGGAGTTGGCAACACTAAAACTGCAATATAATGTTTGTGTAGCAATAATACATATGACATATATTTTACATGTCTCCAGTCCCGATAAAAATATAATAATAATAATTCAGCCCCGGGGCCAGTTTAATACCGGGGCTCGGTACCCATCCCTAGGTATTACTATTGATATTCAAGTTCAGGACATAAGCACTTTTTCCTCCTCTGGAAAGGTGTAACCCAAAGCAGAGTCCACTGCAGTGATAACCAGCTGATCAAAGATGTTCTGAACGCCTGCATCTTTTCAGCCGCTCTCAGCACTGCAGGTGTGTTTCTCTCTAATCCTCCTTTCCGATCAATGCACGGAGAGATTCGCAGGCCTAACATGGATTTTGGGAAACTTGAAGCCGATGGAGGAAAGCCTGCAGCGAAGCAGAAACACAAGAGAGCGTCCAGAGCAGAATGAACGAGTGTTCTTAGTCTTAGTTTCCCCAGATGGCTGCAGTACTTCCGCAGTGCAGCTCCTATTGATTCATAATTCATTGTGTTGTCACATTATTTTGTCTCTATTAAATCCCCAATGTGGTCCAGTGTGGAAGTGTCTGCAGATGCACAACAGAAGATAATATACTGGCATTACAGATAGGGAGTCTTATTTAATTAGGTGAGGGAATTCAATCATAATTTATAATAAAGTTAATAGCTCACTTATTCACCACATAAGCAGTTTTATTTCCCTTCAGTACTCAAGAGAGAGTTTTATACCATTTTGGGTTTATTAAGTTTTGCAAGAAAGCCCAAAGCAACAACAGCAACATCATGGATTAGAAAAGATTTCAATGGACAGTGTTGATGATTGTTTCGGTAATTCATTAAGCAACATTTCAAGTAATTAATAGTTGTAGTTTCTATGAGGAGTTTGTGTTTTTGCTTGTATAATATGTAGGGATGCTCCGATCGACCGGCCGCCGATCGATATCAGCCGATACTCACTCTCTGCTGATCGATCGGTGCTGTCTAAAAATGCCGATCGCATGACGTAAAATGATGACGTAAAATAAGGTGTCAGAGAAAGACAATAAAACAGCGGTATGCAACGTGTGTGTGAAGCAGAAGTCCTGCAGCTCCACCCGCTGTGACGGACCGGTGAGCGGAGCAATACACACACTAAGAGTTAGACCTAACACACTTAGCTATTTTATCTACCTCTGGAACAAGCTAAACTAGTTATACATATATTTATTCTTCACTGTCGGGTCACTCATTACTGGATCAGCGAGCTGCATGAGACGATACTGACAGGCTGTCAGGAGAGGGAGAGAAAAAGAGAGCGCTTCCACTCATTTCTCCCGTGTTATTATCCAAAGTGAATGTAAACTTGAATAATGTACTTCATTTGAATGTAATAATTGTGGGGGAAACTTCTGAAGCAATTGGAGTCAGGACTCAGAGAGACACGGGGAGAGCT